CGGAAGATCACTAACAGAGTAGAATCAAAGGTACTGTGACTGATAACCCAATTTAGAAAATTAGGATTAGAGATGAGAATAGGATAGAATCTGGGTAAGTATGTGAAGTTTTCTTTATATTGTGGCTGCAGGGAGATAAGGAGGGTTCACGACTTGCTTCTCTGTCTAAAGGGTGTGAGAGTGTCTCTGTGAAGAAGAGAACAGAAGGGGAGGAGGAGATTTCGTCTTCCATGAGGAGTTCAAAGGAGGAAACTGGTAAAAGAGGCATTATACCTTCAGATCGTAAATTGAAATGGAATCTACGGTCTGTTCCACAGATGCCTCAGCAGCAGCAGGGGCGTTGGTCTCTTGGCCTGCATGGCGTTTTTGTGAATGTCTTGGACAGGCTCGGAGGAGTCCAAGGTGAGACCAGAGAACGAACGGTTTTTGTTGTTATTTGGTTATACGAAATCCTGATAGCGATTAGCGAAGAACGGGATCTTCTTTTGGTGCAGTGGCAACTCCTGAGCAAATCTGTGAGCTTATGGGAGTGGAGGACTTAACAGTTGATGACGTGAAGAGTCATTTACAGGTAGGTGTTTTCCCTGTGAATCTTGATTCTTTCCAAAAAAAAAAGTAAGAGGAAAGCAACAATAGTTTGATTCTTTGCAAATGGAGCCAACTTGAGATCCTTAAAAAAGAATCAAACCACAAAAATTTTGGATCTTTCCACACTATTCTTAATCTAATTGGTTTCGTTTTTCGGCTGCAGAAGTTCCGGCTGTACATGAGGGTTTTGAATGTGGTTTAGTATTTTAGAAACAAGAACCGAAAGAGTTACGCAAGAACAGGTTCCAAAGAAGTTTCTGTCTTGGTTTTGTGGATTAGTGTATGAAATGTGAGGGTTTTGGCTTTGTACCATAGAAATGCTAGAGAATGTGGAAGAAAAATCCGACAGAATAGAATCAATTTGGACAAAATATTGGTCGAGAACAAAACAATCGTGTCTTTTCTTTTAAAAAAAAAAATCCACAGAGGCCAGTCACTGGTGAAGGAAAGGAACCCTCGAGTTAAAATCCACAAAAGGATCAAATTTACACCCTCTAATGAAAGCTACGACAGAGCTGTTGCTTGACTCTCAAGAAACAAGTTCACATTAGAAAGTTAAAGTCTTGAACAACAGATCAACGGAGAGTTCCAGCCAAGAATTGGCCATTGTTGTTCCTACCTGGAGGAAAGCCTCTGGTGCAGATCATCAGCCAGTGCCTGCCTCAGGCTCTGCCCATAGTAGTAGAACTGCCTCTCGCTCTCCAGAACCCTGGCCGGCGTTCCAGTTTCATCCGGATCCTTCCACGTCTCCGGCTCGGGTTCCCTCGCAATCTGACACAGGTTGTGCAAAACGCAACAAGCCACGATGGTCTGTGGAGCATGGTTTATTCCCACATTCAAGCTCTGAAGGATCTTCCACCGGGCTTTCAGCAATCCGATAGCTTCCACGACCACAGATCTCCCTTTCATCAGCATTCCGTCGAACAGATTCTCCGGTGGTGAACCCGAGCCGTCCGGGGAAAAGGGTGTCATCAAGAAGGACAAAAGAGGGTAACACCAGTCTCCGACGATGTATGGTCTCACATGGTGACCTCTGATGTTGATCACCTTGTCCCAGATAATGTCACCAGACGTCAGCCTCTTGTAGAGAAGACTGTCTCTGAAATGGGTCGCGTCGTCTTCTCCTCCGGGAGCTTTCACGCAGACGTCCCAGAATATCTTCTTGTGGTCGGCGACGACCTGAAGTAAAACGGCGTCGTATCCGTACCTGCAGCCATAGATGCTTCTAGGGTTTAGCTTCACACTGCGTTTGAGCTTCACGGGAGTGCCGTCAATGGCGCCGCAGATGTTGGGAAGAGATGTGAGCTCCTCGAAGCCCTGTGTGGTCTCGATCAATCGGCGTTTTCCGACAGGGATCTTGATGAATTCTGGGTAGAGCTTGGTGGCGAGAAGGCGCGTGACCATGTTGGTGATTTTGGAGATCAGATACGGATCGAGTGAGTACCTGGAAGCTAGGGTTTTCGCGGAGCAGCCATGGGTGAGGCGGGAGAGGACCATGGCAACAGCGTAATCGGCAGGAAGGGAGAGATTGGAGGCGGCGATAAAGGGCTTGAGCTTGTCGACGACGGTGGTGAAGACAGGGTACGAGAGTCCGTAAAGCGACCGCCATCGCGCGTCGCGGAGAGGCGCGTCGAGGGACCAGATGTGGTCAGTTGACAGGGTGCGGAAGGCGGCGACGGAGTAATCTCCCCCGGGGATTGGCGGCGGAGGAGAAGGGGAGGCGGAGGCGGAGGAGGTCTCGCCGTCTCCGGAGGAGGAAGCAGATCTGGAGGCGAGGAAGGAAAGGAGAGAAGCGAGGGTGAAGAAGAGCAATGGCGCGGCGGAGGGGGTGGAGAGGAGGGAGGAGGGAGTGGCGGAGGATGACGGCGGAGATGCGGCGGAGGCGAAGGAGAAGACGGTGCTTGTTGGGTCTAAAGAGCTTTGAAGATGTAACAGGCTCGACAGCATCGCCATGAAAGCTTCCTCCATTCTCGCTCTATCTCTCTTGTTTCGGCGGAGACGGCGGAGAGTTTCGGTGGAAAAGGAGAACGTGCGTTTCCCAATGCGCGTTTTAAAAACGCCAATATTTCCAATCGTCCACGCCAGGGAGTTTTGAACTGACAGTTGACCAAACAAAAAAAGAAACGAACCCAAACATATTTCGGTTCAATCCATCGGTATAACCAAAATTGTATGAATAAGAATCGAGAAACCGGAAATTGTTTTAAAATAAGCTTTAAAAAACCGTACACTAAAACTAAAATAAAATCAAGCTAAATATATTTTGAATAACTCCACTTCTTAAAAGACCTAATCTCGTACCAGACTTCGTTATCAGATAAAAACCACTTCTTAAATCGGCATTCTTCAAGATGACCTCAAACAAAAACTCGGGGTTAGATGGCTACACAACGGAATTCTACATGCACACTTGGAATAATATAGGCGATGAGCTAATGGATACTATCTTAGCTTATTTCAAAATGCAAAGGATTTCCCTAGCCATAGATTCAACACTATCGGTTCTGATCTCCAAATTGTAAATTTTAATCTAATAATTTTTTTATAACTTTTAATTTTATGAAAACTCATCAAAACTTAAATACGATATTACATAATTCACACAAACATAATGAGATAGTATATAACATATATGAAATATACCTAAATCCATATTGCACCGGAATGACTTTGAAAAACAAATGAATAAACAAATGGATGAAAAATGTGAAACAAATGTCCACTATAAACAAGTTTAGGGTTTTGAAAAAATGTTTTCTTATCATTAACAGTGAGATTTGTACAACTATATAGAAGTTTGAATAAAGGAGAATAGAATCTAACGTAATCTACACATGATACAATCAATACAATCAAATCCCGTGATTTTAGCATATCCCTATTACGCCCCCGCAAGATCGGTGTCGGTAGAGAGGCCGATCTTGGACCGAAGTTGTTCAAACCGTGAGCGAGGTAGTGGCTTTGTCAACATGTCTGCCAATTTATCCGCCGGAGAGACATGGGATACGTGTAGCTTGTTCGCTTGCACGAGTCCACGAATGTAGTGAAAGTCGATAGCAATGTGCTTCATGCGGGAGTGAAATATCGGGTTCGCAGAAAGGTAGGTGTCTCCAATGTTATCACAGTAGATGATCGGCATGACATCAAGAGATATACCGAGCTCATAAAGAAGAGAGACCAACCACTGGACTTCCGGGGCAGTGGTGGAGACGGATTTGTACTCGGCTTCTGTAGAGGACTTGGCTGCAAAACGTTGTTTCTTGGAAGACCAAGAGACCGGGTTGCGACCAAGGTAGACCACATGTGCTCCCGTCGACGTGAAATCATCCTTGTTGCCTCCCCAATCGGCATCCGAGAAGGCATGAAGAGAGAATGTTGTCGCAGCAGCAAGGTGAATGCCG